GGCTGTTTGGGCCGGCATATTATTTAGAATACTATGAAGGGCTTGATTAGGGCCGCTATTGTTCGGAATACTATGAGGTTCTTGCTGAGGAACATTATAATTTGTAACACTATAAAGAGCTTGCTGAGCGTTATTATTTGGGATACTATAAAGAGCATGCTAGGGCGCGTTATAATTTGAAATACTATAAAGTTGAGGGTCATTATTGTTAAAGTACTGTAAAGGGCCTGATGAGGGTCATAAGCGCAGTAGTACGGAAGCATATTGAAAGCAAAACACAAAAAGTGAACGTGTGGAAGTAACAATACTGATGCCAGAATTTATATATGACCCCAAAGGCAGGTCGTGATCACATCTCAACCTTAACACTTCCATTTCTTGAAAAGAGTGATAACGCTACCCGTTCTCTCAGGGCATATTTAACGAGTAACGACATCGCACCTTCCACTCTCTGAGGAAGCCGTAACGTACTCGTTCTCTAGGGGCATACGAAAAGAGTAATGACTGCATCACACCGTCATTGTGTTACACGGTAAAAGGCAATGAACATACAGCATGGACATGAAGAAAGATAAAAATGAATATCGAATAACCAAATTATTGTATCTCTAGATATTTATTGCATAGAGAAAATTCTTACGTTACACATACATACATTCAACAAAAGAAACTAGCTGTGCGCGAACTGAAAAGAAGAATGTGTCAAGATCCCACATTGTTAAAGAAACCATATTCTTCCAGCAAGCAAACAGCACATTAACAGAAGAACAATAAGCAAGCCGAATTCGGAAGATAGTTTCTTATTGTGCTCATATCTTTTATGATTTCGACTAATTTTAGCCGATGCACCAGAAATGTGCGGGTGGTTCAGTGGTTTTATAATAACTCCGGTGATCACGGAGAAAAAAATACAACAATGCGCCCGTGACGTTGTTTGAGGAAGGAGTGGTCCCCTGACCCCGCACCATTTAAGGGCGTGGGTCAAGTTAGGGAGTCGTCTCAGACAGGGTATTGGTGTGGCATCGTCATCTAGACCAGGCTCAGAACCCTCGTCCGGGCTAGTTTGTGAGTAGTGATCATATTCTTTTGAGGTCAACTCTTGAAGCCTTTGGGTATTTGCGTGGTGTGTTCTGGCACAGGCCAGAACCCGCGCTCACCACCGCTCCTTCGGGGCGGGGCTTGAGTAGCATTCTCTTCACTGTCTTACCCGTTACAGGGGACTCTTTTCTTGTACGCCACCCATAGTTAGGGTCTTTGTGTTCGTTCTCAAATAAACTATCACTGAACCACCATTTTTTATTNGCCGCTATAGAGTGAAGATTTGAGTCTTTCTCTATTTGCTCAATTTCGAGCATTATGTCCTTTCTATCTGCCTTATTTTTAAAAGTTTTAAACTCCACTCTAATCTCTTTGTGGAGTTTCTCGAGCTTCTCAGTACCTAGATTTATCTGCCTAGTTCCACATTCCAATGTACCATTGCAGACCTACAACAATAGATTTCTTCATCTGCTGCAGAGCAATCTACTTTGGCTGTATATTCCCTGTAGCGCACGATCGAATTCTTAATCGTCGTCGCGCTAGAGACGATTGGTTTTCTACTTGAAGCGTCGAGACCCTTATCACGCGATTAGTCCGTTGAACATCTACCACAGATTACTTTCAATTAGGACGTATCAGGCTCCAAACGACCATGATACTGTCACTTCATTGCAATTGGGCAGTATCAATGAAAAGGGAAAAAGTGATAAAAAGCCAAATGAACAATGCAAACAGGCAAGGAGCGAATAAGTCCGCAAATTGGCATCTAGCATTAGCGGCATCTTCAATCGGGCAAACGTCAGCTGGATGGGGAGTGGGTTGGCCGATTGTCATGGTCAGGAGGTTGAATTGTCTGACCGAGCTGTGCAGCTTAGAAACGTGAAGCCCTGAATGGGAACGATAGGCTGCATCGAGGCGGCAATACTCTATGCGCTCAAGTGGTGACGGTGGGGGACAGTGCATTCGTGCTATTCGAACTGCGCGCGGCAAAATTCATAACGATTTTGACGAATTTAGCCTATTATTGGGGCCCAAATTTGAAGTAGAGTAGATTGGTAGGGTCAGCTGACCATACTAATCTACTCTACTTCAAGTTTGTGCTCCAATATAGGCGTCACAGTCGTTCGAATCGCTACGAATTTCGCCGCGCTATTTTCGCGCGCAGTTCAAATCGCACGAATTTACGCACATCTGGTGGCGGTACTTCTTCCCGAATTCTAAGGCATGGTTCATGGCGGCTGCCGTATCCTTCCACTGAGAATTCAAACCTGGATGCGAAAGGCCGCGCTGAACCACTTTCTGGCTGCTTTCATAGTCCGCGACTTGGCCCGCGAGCGAGCGAACGACGGGGCGGCGCTTGCCCCTTGTTTACAACTGAAACTTGGTCGATACCGCCGGACGAGTAGTGCTCCCTCGCTCGCTCGCGGGCCAAATCGTGGACTTTGGTACGCAACGCAATTTCTGTGTCGGGCAACTAAACCATCCAACTTCTTGACTTACGATCAGCTATCGGCCTAACCGTAATTGGTTCACACCTACGTGCGAGGCGACCTTGATTGAGAATGAAGACTCGGGAACGCAAATCATGATCTAAGGTCCTTCGGAGACATATATCTGACAATGACAGCCTTCAAGCTGAGCTGTGGCGATGAGTGAAAGGCAGAGGGATTGGCACCGATCAGCACATTGTAAAGTGAACCATGTGCTCCTTGCTGTTGTTAAACGTCTTTGAGGCCCTCCGACATGCATTTTTGCACTGCTCTCTATGGGCTTACAAATCACTAAGTTCTAGCATAGAGAGTACGAGTCGTCGACGTCGCCATTCCCGATCCACACTGATGTTATTCGCCTTTCGTTTTTCCCCCAAAAACCAGACTGTCGGACGCTCACAACACTGATAGCACATGATGTGAGGGATTAAAAAGAAGTTTCATGTACACGACCAGGACTCTCAATCTAAGCCTTGTCGAAATTGCTCCTTTTCGAACATGTCAAAGCTGTTCCTTTCATCGGCCAGAGAATGATATTAGCAACATAGTAACGGTACATCGTTCAATTATTGAAGGATAAGAAAAGAAAAAATGTGAGAAATCGGGAATGAGAAACTTGCCAGGAAGTGGCGTGGTTCTTGGTTGGGGGCATCTGACGAGACCCGACATTGAGGATGAGACCGAAGGGCGGTTCACCTCTCCCGTTTCCCCACTGCCGTCCTCCCAACGCGGTCGTTGCATGTGTCTACTTCCACTTCTTTACAGATTTGTCTGTTTGCACCGTTTGAAATTGAGTTTCTGACTCAGAAGATTAGGCGGTCTACCTCCCAACATCCGCATTGGCTCTCACATTACTTTATGGTTCTT